TATGATATTTGTTGCCCTTTCATCTAGCTTTCTAAATGTGTTGGAATCATGTTATTTGGTTTTGTTTTCATGAAGAAAAATGCAAAAAACCAAAAAAAACACGACGCTTTTGGAATTCCTTTACCTCATATCTCCACAACAGGAGCACTTCAGAACATAATTCAACCAGATTCGGGAAGCTACAGTGCAGGGGTACAACTTTCGCTTTTTGACTATTTTTGGTAATTGGTCATGTGACCACCCTCCCAACAACCCATGTGATACATATCATCATTATTATATAGTTTTCGGTAATGAAAGTGCCAAAGGGCCTAATGAAATATCCTAATGAAAAATCTAAGAAATAGTAATGAAAGTGCCAGGGAGCCTAATGAGAAGTGATGAAATCGTCAAGGTGCTCAATGAAATATCCTAAAAGAAATGGTAATGAAAGAGCCAGATGCCCCAATGAAATCTCCCAATGAAAAATCTAATGAAATAGTCAGGAGTGTAATGAAATATCCTAATGAAAGTGCCAAGAAGCATTCTAATGAAAATTCAATGAAACGGTAATGAAAGGGCCAAGGAGCTGAATGAAATATCCCAATGAAAATTCCAAGAAAATCTAATGAAAGTGCCAAGGAGCCTAATGAAATATCCTAATGAGAAATATAAAAAATCATAATGAAAAAGCGCAGGAGCCTAATGAAATATCCTAATGAAAATTCAATGAAATGGTAATGAAAAAGCAAAGGAGCCTAATGAAATATCCTAATGAAAATTCTATGAAATGGTAATGAAAAAGCACAGGAGCCTAATGAAATATCCTAATGAAAATTCTAAGAAATGATAATGAAAAAGCGCAGGAGCCTAATGATATATCCTAATGAAAATTCTATGAAATGGTAATGAAAAAGCAAGGAGCCTAATGAAATATCCTAATGAAAATTCTAAGAAATGATAATGAAAAAGCCAGGAGCCTAATGAAATATCCTAATGAAAATTCTAAGAAAATGATAATGAAAAAGGGCAGGAGCCTAATGAAATATCCTAATGAAAATTCTAAGAAATGGTAATGAAAAAGCCAAGGAGCCTAATGAAATATCCTAATGAAAATTCTATGAAATGGTAATGAAAAAGCCAAGGAGCCTAATGAAATATCCTAATGAAAATTCTAAGAAATGGTAATGAAAAAGCAAGGAGCCTAATGAAATATCCTAATGAAAATTCAATGAAATGGTAATGAAAAAGCAAAGGAGCCTAATGAAATATCCTAATGAAAATTCTATGAAATGGTAATGAAAAAGCACAGGAGCCTAATGAAATATCCTAATGAAAATTCTAAGAAATGATAATGAAAAAGCGCAGGAGCCTAATGATATATCCTAATGAAAATTCTAAGAAATGATAATGAAAAAGGGCAGGAGCCTAATGAAATATCCTAATGAAAATTCTATGAAATGGTAATGAAAAAGCACAGGAGCCTAATGAAATATCCTAATGAAAATTCTAAGAAATGATAATGAAAAAGCGCAGGAGCCTAATGAAATATCCTAATGAAAATTCTAAGAAATGGTAATGAAAAAGCACAGGAGCCTAATGAAATATCCTAATGAAAATTCTATGAAATGGTAATGAAAAAGCGAAGGAGCCTAATGAAATATCCTAATGAAAATTCTAAGAAATGGTAATGAAAGTGCCAAGGAGCCTCATGAAATATCCTAATGAAAATTCTATGAAATGGTAATGAAAAAGCGAAGGAGCCTAATGAAATATCCTAATGAAAATTCTAAGAAATGATAATGAAAAAGCGCAGGAGCCTAATGAAATATCCTAATGAGAATTCTAAGAAATGATAATGAAAAAGCGCAGGAGCCTAATGAAATATCCTAATGAAAATTCCTTTGAAATGGTAATGAAAAAGCGCAGGAGCCTAATGAAATATCCTAATACAAATTCTATGAAATGGTAATGAAAAAGCGCAGGAGCCTAATGAAATATCCTAATGAAAAGTCTCAGAAATGATAATGAAAGGGCCAAAGAACCTAATGAAATATCCCCATGATATCTCATTATCCTTGTCTATAACTTATTAAACATTCCAGTGATAAATTGAATGAAATAGATGGGCAATCCTAATGAGATGCCTTTCATAAAACCTGTGGCATTATACACAATGGCTCTTGGACAGTTGTCATAGATTAATCATAAAAGTGGTAGCCACCAGTCCTTGATCCACCTCAGCTTTGTCAGAGCACCCTTTGGAAAATTGTTAGCCTCCTCGATCTCCCTTCTATCCTTCTCACTGTTAGTATCCAAGTTCAGAGGAACGTAGTAGGCAATGACGTTGTATGACCTCGTCTTAAACGAGGCCTCCATCTCTCCTAGCTCTCGCAGGAAAGCTTCCGCGTTGGGCTTCATTGCCAGCCATGCCGCGCCTTCGTCAGTAGCCATTTCTATCAGAATTCCCCCGTTCTGGAGCTTCAACACCGACCTGACTTTGTGCTATGAAGCCGTCGCCCTACCCATGGCCTCCGAGAATTTGCCCACTAGGACCAAGTTGGCGCAATCCCGTAGTCGTGATTCCCTGGGTAAGTCAACCAAAGACTGTCGTTGTCTTATACTTTCTTTCGCGGCCAGCCTAGGATTAGCATCCAAGGGAGCCCCAGAGGTCGCCCTAATCAGCGCATCCCTGTAAGGCGAGCTGGCCGTGTTCCCCGCCTGCTGTGCTGCCTTTTCCACCACCTCTGCTAGTTCCACTGTTTTCTCTTTCAGAACCTCCGTCTTTTTCTCCAACTCCTCCATGACCTTCACCCTCAGCCCCTCCGTGAACTCTCTCAAGTCGCTGGTCAATTCGTTGAACTGTGCATTGGCGATGTCCCTGATGTCTTCCGCTACCATCCCTAATTCGACGTCCCTTAGCAGAAAAGCGACTGCGCGGACTGCGTTAACTGCAGGGAGGGCTACTCCTGGCAAGGCTGCTATCTGACAGAGTGTCGTAGTGAGTGCACCTAGGGTGAGCAGTGCACCTCGCGGGACGAGGAGCAGTTTTTCTTCGAGGTAAGACCTCCCTTTTTCTGAGTCGCCTATTTCTTGTTCATCTTCGTCTATCTCCGCTGAGCCCGCAGCTCTCGTTTTCGCTCGTTCCTGTGCTTCTGGTTCGGACATTCGACCTTGTCGAGTGGTCGTCACTTTACCTTTTAGTGGTGGGGTCTGGCCTTTGGCCTTCGCTCCGGTCCCAGACATGCTCTGAGAATGTTATTAGCTGGTTTGACAATGGTATAAAACTTTTAAAAGCTGTATGTAGGCCAGAAATGTGTGTTGCAATCGACGAGTCGCCCAAAATTTTTCGGGGTCCTAGTCGGGGTGCCACGTGGTTCAGGTCCAAGGAAGATCCGATGCTGCATCATATTGGGTATCTTTTAGATTTTTTTTCCATTCCTATCTCCCAGCTGGTTGCCATTTCAGCGTCAAGGACCCAAAATGTGAACATGTCAAATAGTGATTTTATAAATTTAGGAACTATAAAAATCTCATATTCAAAGGTGAGAAGAATTTTTTATGGAACTTCCTTTGAAACCTCCAAAAGATTTTGTGTAAATTGGAATAGAACTGACTGAGTTACAGATGGATGATTCTTGAGCGCCTTGAAATGGTGTATTTCCTATTACAGGCAGTGATCCTGAAATGTAATGAACTGAACAGAGCCAATACAAATTTGTATTAGTTCAAGGTGGCCGAGTATAGTGTTGCCGCGGCTCCGGCTCGGAGGCAGCTCAAGTCAGGAGCCGAGCCGAGTTTAGCCGAAGCCCAGCCAGAACCGCCGAGTGATGGCTCCCACAGCTCGGCTAGTTCCAGCTCCGGCTAAGAAGCCGGCTGGAGCTGACTAAGCCGGTCATAAATCGTGAGTGTTCAAGTTCGTTCGTTCAGTCATCTCAAGCCTCAAAGTCTTGCAATAAGATCAAGAATATATACCTTGCCATCAAGATATGTGTAAAACATACAAAAAAATCTCTCTAAGGCAGTTGTAATATATCTACGGTATATGTAGTTTATCGCCGACTGTCTCGGGTGACTACCAGTTCATTGGTGGCGATTTTGACATCAACCTTTCTCAAAAGCGTTGTTGATCTCAAAATCGAGCAGCCACAAAATTCTTCGCCAAACTCCTTAATTCTAAACTGCGACCCCTTATGTGGACCGGTAAATGCGGTAACGACCTGGGATTTGCACTCCGGCCTTTCAGGTATAAGGTATGGAAATGGCACTTCCAACACTTTGAAGCCTAGCTGGACCTTGACCGCATCTCCGACCACTCCCTTGAACTCCCCACACTTATCTTCGTGCTCGCCCTTGTGAAAATTAGGTTTGGTGTTGATGAGACAAAGGCTGAGTCTCATGTTGGCAAAGCAGCCATCTCTGAGCCAATACGGAGAAGAGGCTGCCACAATTGTCAGTATCTATTGACTTTCTAACAGAAACATAATTACCATCATTACCACGGCGCGGGGTTTGTGAGCTTGGGTTCCAAGCTGGGGTCATCAGGATATCTTCCAAGTTAGGAAGCGGAGTAGATGGCCCTGCAATGGCCGGAGTCTGTGCACGAAAAGGAGCGGGATATGGGATTGAGGGTTGCGAATCTGGCAAGGGGTAACCAGGGAACAAAAAGCCTGCCAGAGTACCAGGCGGAGGTGCTGGTTCGAGTGGGTAAGTAAAGTCGGTAAGAAGCTCTCGAGGCCTGGGGTGCTGAAGGCTTTCATCAGCGCTGGAAGCTAATTAGTATTGATTCAGAAAAATAAGAGAATGGGCTTACATGATGTGTAGAGAACTGATGTCCAAAATTTGTGGGCGTTGGAGGAGCGCCTCAAGCTCGACGAAGACCCTTTTCTCACCAATTGTGCTTTTTACTCTGCCTCGGTAACCTCTAAAATTCCCGTGGGTGACCATCACATGTCTTCCTACCAGGTGACTATTGGAGTCCCCCTTCATGACACGCTTTTGCGCATCTGTGAAGGAAGCTTTCAAGTCCGAGGACCCCGTTCCAAAGATGAAGGGGGAGGTGAAGAACTGAACAATCCCAGGGGATGCCTCTATCTACAAGATGACGGAATGTTAGAAGAGCCATATATATTATAAAGCAAGATATTCACCTCAGTACCAGTCCTGTCATCAAAGACGCACACGCAGTCATCATTTTGATTCACTACCCAACCTGTAACACCTTCGTGGTCTCCCGAAAGAATGCGGACTTCATCCCCTACTTTGAGATCTTTTCGAAGCGACAAAAAAGGTAAGGTAGTTGTTACATCCTTCATTGTAAAAAAGACGACGGCTTCGCCTTCCGTTACATCAATAATTGTTCCAAGAAGCCCCCTTGAATCTCCGTGCGTGATTTTTACCTCATCGCCTATCCGAAGGATCCTGGCTGACATTCTCGCCATCGTGTGCTGTCGGACGTTGAGAGGAATGTCCGAGCAGGCATTGAAAAGTTCCAATTCACTCAATGTTGGTACTACATCTTCTGCTGTGTACCAATCCGTGTCGACTTCTGAGAAATAGGCATATCTGTCGGCATCGTACAACACTCCGCGGAATAAAAACAGGTTGTTGTGTTGTTGAAAGGCCCGCACTAGTAGCTGCCATTTACATCATGTAAAACCTGGCATGTACCATAGAAGTTCCTGCTTAACTACCGTGAATGAAATGAAATGAATTTTCATTCATTCACGGCACCTGTTTCATTCCAAGTCATTCTCATTCATTGCCGTCGAGAATGAAATACTTTTTGTTTCATTTCATTTCATCTCAATTTTTTCTTCATTTCTACTGACAAGAATGCAATTTATTCTGTTTCATTCATGCCTGGCGACTCTTTCATTTTTTTAATTTCATTCCACCATGGCAACTGTTTCATTTTTTGCTTTATTCTTTCGTTTCATTCATTCCTGGCAACTGTTTCATTTTTTTCATTCATTCATTGCCATGGAATTTTCATTTCATTCTTTCCAGGCAGTTATTTCATTTTTGTTTCATTCTTTCAGGCAACAATTTCGATGTTTTAACACACATCTAAATAAGGAAATAATATACAATTATGCCTGATATGTGTTGTGCCCTACTGCAGTGGTGTGGGAGGCCATATGGGGGTACTTTTGCATTTGAGGCTCAAATACACAATGACATAGGCATGCTGTTGCCAAATAAGGCACTTAAATATTTTGTATCAATTACATAATCATTTTCCCAGCTCTAACAATGAAATAGGCACCTGAGAAGAATGAAGCAAGGAATGAAACAGTTGCCCTGGTGGAATGAAAGAAAAAAATGAAACAGTCGCCAGGAATGAATGAAACAGAATAAATTATCTAGAATGAAACAGGTGCCGTGAATGAATGAAAATTCATTTCATTTCATTCACGGTAGCTAAGCAGGAACTTCTATGGTACAGCTCAGGAGTACATGATGTAAGTGGTAGCTACCAGTCAGGCCCGTCGATACCGTTGCTTCGCCAGTGTCGGATTGAAGAGGGCTTGGCGAGGCTGCCCTGGTGCTGAAGCTCTTCTATATAGCTCGCGGTCAGGCTTGTAGGTCGCTGCAAACTCGTCGTCCATCTCATTATTTCTGTCCTCATATGCGATAATCCGGCTTCCTTTGAATTTGGCGGCAGGTGGGTCATAATCAACGCGTGGTACCACAAGGAGGTTGATGAGCAATGTTGAATAAGTAGTAACCTCCCGAACGTAGGCGAGATCTCCTTTGTAGATCCCACGGTGCAGTCGAACCCATGAATGAGGCCGTGGCCAAAAGGTATCCGGAACATTGAAAATCGAGGGGTTGGGATTGGGTATGTGGAAAGTCTTCGAGACCATCACGTTTGGTAGGCCATTACAGACTTGTCGAATCATTTCCTCTGAACCACCTTCAAAAAACACTCTACCAGGTAGAGCCTTCCAACCAAAGACCACTGGGGGTCGAAACTGTGCAGGAAACCTAGGGTCCATGAGCCGCCGATGGACTCGACAGACTATCCCCTCCTCATACCCAGGCTAAGTAGAAAAGTCCTTATAAATATGAGCTTCAAAGATTGGATTAGCGTTACCTTGACAAGCACCGCCCATAAAGACAGTTTTCCGATATCTTGAATGTCTTCTTCCGTAATATGTCGATGAGCTGTGACGCGCTCGAGAAAGCTTTCCCAAAACACATCATCATCGGACGGCATCAACGCTTCACGGAGAAGGTTGCGGTGCGCATCTCCTGAGATCGAATCATCGATGTCTTCATCGTCATCGATAAGATCACCTTGAAAATGATTAGAAGTGTAGTAGCTATCGTTACAATGTATGATACACACCTTCGTTGCCGTTATTCTCATCATCGGTTTCCGCCTCTGATACTTCAGCTTCGAGATCCAAAAATCGAAGAACTTCTGGGTTCTGTTGCGTGATTAGCTTGCTAAGAAATCTCACAAGAATAAGGGGGACTTGCCTCGAGCTTCATACGTTTCGTTGGTCTCTCAGGGTATTCCGCTTCCATGAGGATTTCCTGGCATTTCTATTACATTACGGTCATCTGGAATTCAGTTACTAGCACGCACAAATGTTTCTAAAAGCTATATACTCTACAAACTACACGGATGCTGCACGAAGATGGGAAAGAAGCTCGAGATTGTTTGCGCACTGTTTTGTCTTTCGTTGACTTTAGGGCCAGTT